TTATATGTACAATACATGCATATTATATAATCCTTCTATCCGTGTACATGTAACTCATGAAGTATAGAGTAGAAGAAGGACCATCTCTATATGAAGTGTCCGTAAAAACGCGTCCAATAAGGGTGGCGCTGCAGTAGCATAGGATAATTAAAAAAAAAAAAGCGCCAAAAGTAATTAGAATAAGATGGAGAAATAAACAAGGAGCGACCAATCCGCTTGGTATTGTACTACGTAAATAGTTGAGGATTTGTAACTGTAGTCATGAAATTTTTTAAATATTTGTATTCAGCTGACTTCACTCCGTCTACAACAGCTATATTCATATCGTAGTTCTTCAGACGCCAGCGGTATTGCGGTAGGTTTTGGAACCTCTATTTTCAGTATACAGTTGGACACTTTTTCAACTTTCCGCCCATATTTCCGAGATGGTTCTCCTTCTACTCTATACTCCTTGATGTAACTGAACTCTTAAGCGGTTTGACGAATTTTGTTTTGTGTGTGATTAAGTTAATTAGAGAAAGGTATAGATTCATAATTGGATCCGGTAGATGGCGTTGTTGTCGAGATCCAGAAATCAACCGAGCGTAGCCGAGGCGGATAGCTAGTCAATGATAAATGCAGTTATTCATATTTTACAAATTAGTTACTTACTAGTAAGTTCGTAATAGAAACTGTAAAACTAAGCACAATACAATAATTAAATTCATATATTAGTTTATATTTGTTGGTGACATACTATTTTAAAGAATAACTTTTTGATAATTATTGTTGTAAAACATAGAAGTACATTTAATGGGAATTCAAACAGCCTCTCGAAAATTATCCAATATTTTCATCACTATACAGGGTTATTTTGCAAGAACCGGCCAAATTTGCAGAGAAGTACTATAGGCAAATGGTGAAGAAAAATTAATAAAAAATATCTCAAACATTTTCATTTTTATCTCTTAAATTCAAAATGAGTGGTAACGCATTATTTAAACTGATTTTAATGCGCACGAGGGTCGGGCGGTAGGCAAAAACATGTTACCCATAATCACGTTCAATTTGGGATAATTTCAAATAAAATTAAAAGCCTTATTTACTCGTATTTTAAAAAACTGCAAAAACGATATATCATTATTTACATATTTCAACTTAAGATTGAAATTTGGCTAATCTTTGAAGAATAACTCTGTATAGTTTATTATGGATATCAGATTATATAAATTACTAATAAATACTCAAATTTTGAGTAGTTTATCAAAATTATGAATTAGTAAATTTTCATTACTCAGTAGATACTTCATGAGAATTCCTGCCAAAAGTAACAACAACATGCCTTACCAAAATACATTGGGAAAAAAAGCAAACATGTTGTTCTAAGATAATGGAACACAATTTATCAACTTAATCAATTTAATTATAGTAAATACTAAACATAAAACAAAGCAGTGATATTTACAAATTATTCGAATAACATGTGAAGTGTTTGTAATCTATTTGATAAGCTATATATAAAAAAAAAAAAAACTAACAGTAATTTTAAAAAAATTAATAGTATGTAGACAAGCAGACAGGTAAGATGTCTCATTGTAAGGGCTACATTAAATAAAAACTGGGGCTTCATTGTATACATGTGTCAATCGTGAAATATTCTTTCATTTGACCCGGGTCACATCAAAGTACAATACGGCCGACGTATCTTGGCGAGTCCGACCTTCGCGCAGAAGGTTGCGCAATAGCTTTTTTAAGGAACAAAATGGTGGCATGAGGCGACGTACGGGGGGCGGTGGTCTAGGCTAGAGATTGACCATAAGTAAACACAATCGACCCTTTAGTCATAAAATATCGCAATCGATTAGTTTTATTTAGAAGTTATTGATTTTTGTTTATATAAGATATTAAACGAAATAGATTTACAAATATAGTGAATTTTGTTGATAATAAACAAGATTTCGACTTAAATAAAAAAAAAAAACTAAAAACATATTATTTTCTCAGCTGAAAGACATAATGTACTTAAATATCAATTATCTATTAACGTCTTCTTGAGTAACGACTATTTGAGAAAATTTAGAACCTCCTTATAAATTGCAAATAAATATATTTTTATGTCTTAATTTTAATCGATTTGAATAAAAATCGATTAAACAACACCCTCAGGCACGCGTGTTGGACATCCCTTTCTGGTTACTTCGTAAAGCTTCGTGCTTATTCGGCAATGCTCGGTACACGGTAATATTTCTCAGTCACACGTTAGCATTGGTGTCGTGTTCGTGTCGCTATCTCTGTCTTGAGCACAGTCGGTTACAAAAGTTTTCGTTGTTATTGTTGTTTGTTTTTATTAATAGTGTTAAGTTTGTTTTGTTTGTTTTATTTGTTTTATTTGTTTTATTTGCAAGTGTCAGTTAGCACTTATATTATTCGCCAAACATGCCACCAAAACATAACAGTGTGTTAAATCGCCAGGCGAGAAAAATTATTTACGATTTAACGCAATATATGAAAAAAGAAAAAGAAGAAGGCGTAAAAGATGTCGATAAAGTTTATTTAAGAGTTGCTAACGCAACTGGTGTGTCCCAACGCACAGTACAGCGGATCGCAACTGAAGGCAATATTTCGGGCTTACTTTCAGTATTCCGCACGCCTGGTAAAAAAAGGTCTAGATCAAAACCTATTACTGATATGGATAATTTTGACCAGGGAGTAGTAAAAAGATGCATACACAACTTCCACAAAACTGAAAAAGAAATGCCGACGATAAACAAATTACTAGCGAAACTCAAACGGGATATAAATTTTCAAGGTGGTAAAACGAGCTTAAAGACAATTATCAAAAACTTGGGTTTCAAGTGGCGAAAGACCGAAACCAATAGAATGGTTCTTATAGAGAAGACCGACATTCGCCTGAAAAGGATCTTGTACTTGAAGGCAATGAAAAAATACAGGGACGAAGGGCGACCAATTGTATTCACTGACGAGTCGTATGCCCACTCATCACATACAAAAGGTAAGGCGTGGTCAGATGGTTCCGCTCAAGGACTAAAGCGCCCGATATCAAAAGGTCAGCGGATAGTGATGGTACACGCTGGGTCAGAAGCAGGGTTTGTTCCGAACGCGCTACTAATGTTCAAATCTGGCAGCAAAACCGGAGACTATCATGATGACATGAATTTCAAAAATTATGAGAAATGGTTACGGACCCAACTGATTCCAAATTTGAGCCCTAACTCGGTGGTGGTTATCGATAATGCTCCGTACCACAACAAATTAATGGATCCTGCCCCTACATCTAATGACAAGAAGGCAAAAATGGAATCGTGGTTATTAGAAAAGGGTATACCATATGAAAAGGACATGCGTAAACCACAACTTTACGATCTAATAAAAAAAAACAAAGACGTGAATAAAAAATACGTAATAGATGAAATGTTTAAACAAAACAACCACGATGTCCTTCGTTTACCCCCATATCATCCCGATTTAAACCCCATCGAGATGGTGTGGGCTGCCATTAAAGGGCACGTAGCCGCTAAAAACGTCGACTGGAACGTAACCCGGACAATGGAGCTCATACAAGAAAAAGTAAATTTAATGGGTCAGAATGAATGGAGTGCTTTATGCAGAAAAGTGCAAGAGGTCGAACATGACTATAGGAAGAGCGACCATATTATTGACGAAATGACGGATCAATTATTCATCATTAATACAGCTTCAGATTCAGAAAGTGAGTCTGAAAGTGAGAGCGACGATTACGAAGATGAACCTATGCCAAGTACCTCACATGGTACACAAGGGGCCGACGACTTTATGTTAGGAATTTCCCCCCTCAGCGACAGTGATTAAATAATAATAAGTGTAAATAAATAAAAAGTATTAAATGTAAATAATATTGTATGTGTTTGTGATAAAATCTGCCCCTATCGAAAGGTGAGGTATCAAAATTGAATCTTTAATTTATAATGTCTCCAAAGTGTTTTGATATTTTTGGTCACTGTATTAGGGAAATTTTATTTGTACATTGGTATATATAAAAAAATGACAATAACAGTTTTCTTCACGAGTGTTCATGCGCTAAACTTCGCAGAGCCTATATTCAGACTCGCCAAGATACGTCGGCCGTATTATATTGATGATTGCAATAACATTTTTTTAACGTTCCGGATCAAACGATTGACAGGCCCCACGACCAGAGAATAATAATGTCTGACGACCGACATTATCGAGCGGCTCTCACAGATCCATGTGAAACTCGAAAAATTCCATTTGAATGATCAACCCTAATGACCCAGGTTCGTAAGACTAATCAATACTTAATTGATCGGGTCACTAGAAATGAATGAATGACACATTTCTATTTCAGTGTGTAGACTCTTATACATTTGTGACAACTTTTGAAAGTACTCCGCCCATGAACAACTGCAACACCAGGGGAACCAGGGGAAATGCAGATGTGTTGCCGGCCTTTTAAAAAGGAGTAGGCTCTTTTCTTACATGTCATTATTAAACCAAAAAATCTGCACAAACCTAGTCACAAATTAAATGAAACCGTCGCATAGGGTAGAAGCGTTGACAGTTGTATTTGCAAAGTTGTAAATCCATTATACAAAAATATTAAGTAATAAAATAAATTTAAATGTAAAACAGATAGGCATGCATAATCTATAATTTTTAGTCAGTGGACTTAGACCCACAAAGAGCGATAGAAGAACACTATATATATTTTAAGTTACGTCAAAACCATACTCAACTTCATGACATACAATCACACACACATATGCACATAAAACAATGTTGTTGGTTGTGTTTTTACAATAAGTTGTACATGCTTTTGGCTTGGTTTCGGCATCACTTGAAATATAAACAGAATTATGTCCATCTTTCTTTATTAGTAAGAGCCTATCGACTATATGAATATGACAAATTGTACATGATGACTATACCATAACCTCAACTAAAAAAATTGTATATTGAAACACACAAAAATATAATCATTCAACTATGTTTGCCATTCAATTTTAAATCTTTAAAATTAATATGTTACAGTCATTTTCTCTTTCTTTCACTTCATATTTCAAATCAACAGGTTTCGGTGAACTCAAGCCAGTGTTCAATGATTTGTTACGTCTTTTGTTTGTGTCTGACTCGGCTTTCGTTTTACTTAGGCTAGTGTCCAAGGTTTTCCTTCTACCTGAACTGGTCTCCAGCACTTTCTTACTACCTATGCTGCTCTCCAATGCTTTTGTTTTACTTGACATAGTCTCTGATGCTTTTCTACTACCTATACTGCTCTCCAATGATTTTCTTTTACCTGAAGTGATATCTGATGCTTTTCTGTTATTTAAACTGCTCTCCAATGGCTTCCGTTTACCCATACTGGTGTCAACTGTTTTTGTTTTTCTGATACTTGGCTCTGACAATCTTGCTTTACCTGGGGTGGACTCAGATTTGGTTTTATCTTGACTGGTGTCCGACAGCTTTGTTTTTCCAGAACTAGCATCAGATGATCTTGTTTTGACAGGAATGAACTCCAATGTTTTGGTTTTATCTGTACTAGTATTGAATAATTTAGATTTTCCCATATTGGTCTCTGATAATCTTGACTTTCTGACACTGGTCTCTACCAACCTTGGTTTACTTAGGAGAGGAGAGTAAGGCTTTACCCCATTCTCAGATGTGTTATTATTATCTGTTGTTATTGGTTCACTGCTAATATTTGGTTTTGATGATATATCAATCTTGCTGAGCTCAATTTTTGGATTAGACACATTTGTCTTATTTTTGGTTTTTGATTTTGGTGGAATAGGTGTGACATTAAAATTTTTAACTACAAAATCTTTATACGAGTCATTGAATGAAGAAGGTGACTCTTCCTTTATTTTATCGCTGAGGTTCAGAGGATCTGTTTTAGGTTGATCATCACTTTCTTTATCCACCAACATAACCGGTGTATCTTCAATCTGCTTATCTTCTGGTGATATTTCATTCACTTTTAATAGTGGATCGAGCTCATTTTCACTATCTAATTCATTAATTGCTCTACTTATTTCGGGCTGTGCAAGAGAAAATGAATTAATTATTTTGATTGTTGAATCCTGAAGCATTGACAGAGGAGAAGAATTCAAAGTATGCTCCTGATAGGGATTGTGTTGATAAATCCTTGTTTTGAACCGTTTCGTAATTGGCTCAGTTTCTGATTGATCTAAATGTAACCCTAACTTTCTCTTTTCGCCTTGACTGCCCTCCAGTTCTCCTAACACCCAAGTTATTTTATCTTCTATCACTCTCTTAGTTGACAAAGAATCTGTGTCGGGATCTTCTTCATAATTATTCAACACAGATGTCATATCCAGAGCTTTACCAATCAAAATTTTAAGAGTTGCAATGTTTATCTTTGCAGCATCTAACACAATGCATTCCATCAGTTTTTTAAATTGTAGATACAAATCGGTTTCGTCTTCTTTCAACTCATTTATTTGAGTATATCCATCAGAGTTTTGAAGCAGTGTTGTTAGAGAGTATTTCTTATATTTATTTGCTAGAACATAATTTTCGAAACAGTGACTATAATGATCTTTATAGAAATGAACCTGTATGCCTTTTGAAAACTCTTGAACAGCAATAGTAGATGGGCAGAAATATGACGTAGTTTCATCATATGCATTGCTACCTTCCGGAAGGCATGTGCAACGATATATCTGCTTGGAGTTATATGTTCCAAAAGTCGCATACTTTACTTTCGTTTGAAGCTCCATGTCATTTTTCCAGAACTGGAATTCTGTAAATAAAGTACAATTTAAGTACATTTAAGAAATTTAATTAAATACAAAACCCCCTAAACAAAAATTTGATACATTGAGATTAAATTAAAGCATACCATTTTTTTATCTTCACACACAATCCCTGACAGGGTAGCCAGAGAGAACAGATCGCCAAGTGTCACGATCCTTACATACCTCTTTCGCTTCTTTCAGATTCATTATCTTCTTCATACATGCACGTCTAGGTATCCGAGTACTCTTGACCCTCCCCTCTTCGAGCAATTTGCTCACATGGTCTTCGAAAGTTAGTCTCGGTCTACCTCGACACCTTTTAATATTTACTTTCGCGCTATATATTTTCTTCACTCATTCGCTCAACGTGCCCAAACCATCGAAGCACGCCCTTATCAATTTTTGTGATAAGGTCATCTTTCAAACCTGCCATATTGCGAATCTCTTCGTTTCGCTTTCGGTCGGCCATGGTAACGCCGCACATTTTACGAAGAGATCGCATCTCCACTGCATTCAACTTGCTTTTATGCTTCTTCTGGCATACCCAGGTTTTGCTGCCACATAACAAAGTCGGTACGAACACTGCGTTATGAATTGCAAGGCGTGCTCTCTTCACTACGCCTTGCCTTTTGACTAACGCAGTCAGGGCACCATTGACTTTGTTCCCGGCAGCGACACGCCTGTCCACATCTAAATCACATCTTCCATCCCGGCTAAAAGCACTCCCCAAGTATACAATTTCATTTACCTGTTCTAGACATTCCTGATTTACCCATATTTCACATTTCGTTCTCTCTTCGTCCCTTTCAAATACCAGAACCTTAGTTTTATTAGCATTCAAACAAATACCTTTAATTTCACATTCCTCTTTCATACACGTGACTAATGCCTGCAGTTCTGCCTCTGATGGTGCAATAAGCACTGCATCATCAGCATACAGCAGACAATTTACTTTTATGTCACCCAATTTCACACCCAAACAGCTATCTTTCAGCTTCTGTAAACAGCTGTCGAGATACAGTATGAACAGCCAGGTAGACATGACACAACCCTGTTTTACGCCCATTTGGACGCTAAACATGGGTGACAGGTCATGCCCTACCCGCACACAGGCTTTACAGTCACAGTAAAGTGACTGCACAGCCCTTAGCAATCGACCATCCACACTATACCCCGGCAACAGTTCCCACATTTTCTTCCTTACAACCTTATCACACCCAGCCCAGCAGCCTTACCACATTTCAAACTTCGAATCGCACGTTCAATCTCTTTCATACTGATGACCTCAGTGTCATCGAGGTCCGGGTCTGGCGTACCAGTCACGGCGTCATCCCCGGATCCCTCACTAAGGTCATCACACGCATACATTTCTCTATAAAATTCACTCCATCGCTGCATGACGTCCGATTTTTCTGAGAGGACGTCATTAGTTCTCGAAAGCACTTTGTTCATTCTTAAGGCCGTCGCACCACTTCGGGTCCTTCCAACCTCTTTCCAGAAGAGTTTGGAGTTCTCCTTGAAGTTGTGCGACAACCTTTCGTCCGCTTCCGTTCTACACCTTTCACGCACTTGTAGCACAAATGGGTTGGCTCAACTGGGGAAGGACCACGCTCTCACAGAATACCAACTTAAAAGCTTAATGCTGCTGTGTTTCGTATAATGAGTGTAGAGAACCGGAGACCCTTTTTACTGGAAACGAGATATTCAATCTTGTCCTCACGGGTGACAACGCATTTGCATTTTGATTTGCAATCGAGGATAGATGTAGATGTCTATGGGCCACAGCAACCACTTACCATCAGGTGGACTGTGTACTCGTTTGTCACCCTTATCCTATAAAAAAAAGGCTAATCTTCGGAATGGATGAAATTTCAATATCAGATGGTAAGCAATGCCAGGACTGATCTAAGCTATAATTTCTCCAAAGAATCATGGAGGAATTTGTTTTGTAAAATCGAAAATCTGATAATATAAATGGTATTTGATAATTACATCAAAACTTTTTTGGTTTGCAATTTTAAACGGTCCTAATGATTTATCTTGTTTGTATCTCTTAAAATTTGATGCTAAATTGTTTTTATAATTATTTTTTTTTACTTTAACACCAATTTACAACAAAATATGGATATTTAAGATCTTTTTTGGTAAAAGTAATAGCTCTTCAATTTTCATTTAAAAATATTTTCCCATTTCTCTCATGGTTTTCAAGATAATAGAAAAAAACTAAGTTAAGGATGACAAACGAGGTAAGTGGCTGTGACCCATAGGCATCTACACTTATTCTCAATAAAGAATCAAAATGCAGATGCGTCGTAACCCGTGAGGACTAAGATGGAATGACTCTTTTCCAGTAAAATGGGTCTCCAGTTCTCTACACTCACCATACGAAACACAGCAGTGTCAAGCTGTCATTTTACACTGGTATTCTGTGAGAGCATGATCCTTCTCCGGCAGAGCCGACCCATTCGTGCTACAACTATACTACTAATATAGCTGCAGCATGGCTCTACCACATACAAATTGGTTCTAATCAATTACCAAAAATCACTTTACCCAAAGACCACTAAAATAGATCTGCAGATTTTATGTTTTTAAGTTTTATGAAAACAAAGTCACTGGCGAAAACGAATAAAATAGCTGGTAAATTAAACAAATAATTCTTACTGTTATTGCTCATTATATACCTTTGGTGCTTGGAAAGAACATGCTCTCCACTCCGTCGCAGTGTAATCCTGCCACATGCAGGTCGAACAACCTCAGACTGATGAATTGTTGTTTACATCCAGAGCATACATAGAACGAACATATCCCCACATCTTCAGGCTCTATCCTGATATTGCCACAAACGTGAGGTTCCGTTTCGGAAATCCTTTTGTTACATACTTTACACAATTGTTTTACAAGTGGTTTTATTAAATGCTGAGAGTTTGGTGACCTGAAATAAAATATAAAAATTAACTGTGAAAACCATAAGAGATTGTTTGCTGGCTTGGCACAAGCCTCCTCTTATAACTGAGATATTTGTGTTGGCAGACTTCACATGTCTGTGAAATATTTTACTGCTTAGACATGCAGGTTTCCTCAAGCATTTTTCTTCACCGCCAAGCATGTGGTAAACTGCCACAGCTCAATAGCAGCATCAAAACCATAAATAAATGTATTTAGTTCCTAGTTAGGGAAATATGCAAATTTTTTATATATCATCATCGCCAGCAAAGACCAGTAATGGTTGTTTATTAGTGCAAGGGTTACTGCTGTGCACTTGCCTAACCTAGTATTCTGGACATCTGTCACTCAAGCATAACCCATAGGTTAACAGGGTGAAAAAGTTTGCATATTTCTGTTCCTGCTGGCCCCTATGAAAGTGTTAATTGCAATTTTAAGTGATATTTTACCACATGCTCAGTGGTGAAGGAAAATATAGTGAGGAAACCTGCAAACCTATCTGAGAAATAGGAAAAAATATATATTTCGAAGACATGTGAAGTTTGCAAACATGTAATGGGACAGCGCGGCCGATGTTTCCTTACCCTAGAAACCCTCTGAGAAATGAGAGAAGGCCTGTGCCCAGCATTGGGACTTATACAGGCTGTAACTTTAATTAACTTCATTTCTTTCGAGAAGTTGAAGAAAATTATATTCTCGAAAGAAATGAGGAGAACATTATAAACTAATTTTTAAGTACAAATTGTGTAAAAAATATATGTATAACATAAAGTATTACATATCTATGACTAAATCACTAAAATCTAGCATCCAAACCTTCCAAATCTCAAATGTAAACCCAAAGTTCACAATGTCAAAATTTCGGTATAGCCTAATATGATACAAAATGTTTGACGTTGTGAAGTTTTGACTTAAGATTGCCTCTGAATACTGTCAAAACTTCTACAAATTATTAACTATTGACATGACTCTCCATATTGGTCCCACAAGGATTTGTCATGCATTGTAAAAAGTTATTTATACATGGTACTATATTATATGTGGTAGAGCCATGCTGCAGCAATATTAGTTGTAACAAGAATGGGTTGCCTCGACTGGGGTAGGATGCTCTCACAGAATACCAGTGTAAAATAGCAGCTTAACACTGCTGTGTTTCGTATGGTGAGTGTAGAGAACCGGAGACCCTTATTACTGGAAAAGAGGCATTCCATCTTAGTCCTCACGTGTGACAACACATCTGCATTTTGATTCGCAAACGAGGATAGATGTAGATGTCTATAGGCCACAGCAACCACTTACCATCAGGTGGAATGTGTGCTCGTTTGTCACCCTATCCTATAAAAAAATAGTTATATTAAATTAGTCAATGTTCACTCTCCAGTTTATCAATCCCTTAGTAATCCACTTTTCAATATCCCATACTACTCTAATTTTCAATCCAAACATTTTTCTAAATTTCGGAATAGATAAGAATACTATTGAAGCAAATAACAAATTAAATATGGTCCTCCTTCAAAATTAGCATGATTGGTTAATTATGTACACTGATGCTTCAAAGTTAAGTGACAAGGGATTAGTTGGGTCCACAGTGTGGATCCCTAATTACAAGATTATTATAAATTTTAACTCTCCACCTCACTCATCTGTATTTTGTTTTCTTTAAAAAATGTTACCCCCACACTAGGATTTTCTCCTGTATCGCAGAGGCAGTTTACAAACACAAATTGCACAAGGACAAACATCCAGACCCGCAACAATTATTTGTAGGCCATACAAATACTTGTTCTGTGCGGGATTCGAACCCGCAGCCCCCAGCGCAGCAACTCATTGCTAAGCCACTGCGCCACGAAGCCGACTCACAGGTGAGTCTTTAAATATCTTAGAGGCAGTCTTATATGTGGAATCACACAGTTTGGAAAGGACTTTCATATTCTCAGACTCCCTTAGTTGCCTTCAGATCATTGTATTCAGTCCTTTTCACTCTAAGAAAAAATAAGCAGACCACCTAAGTTTAAATATTAAAAAGTCTCTGCTGCCATAAAAAAGGGCTGAAAATTGTCTAGGTTTGGCTAAGGAGCCACTGTAGGATTCATGGTAATGAAATTGCGATAATTTAGCTAAAGAAGCCACGAAATCTGGCTCCCTCCCTAAACAATGTCTGTATAGATATGACCTTCTACCAAAGGATGGTTCCAGCTTTCTGTCTTCATGGCAAAGTAATTGGCATCAGTCTGAACTATTAAAATATAAACACTATTCCAAAGTCCAAATTAATATCCCATTAAAACCCTGTTTTTTTCAATATTGCCACTTTAGTAAAACAATCATCTCTACTGTTTGTCACATTCGCTTTGGACATGCTAGTACTCCAGTACACTTGGCTAAACTAAGGATTAGGGATAGCTCAATCTGTGAATGTGGGCTAGACGAAGGATCCATAAATCATCTGTTCTTTGAGTATCATAATCTTTCTCACTCTATGATATCGTGCCCAATTACATCCAATTTCCAGTATTTGTTGTCCCTCGTGTATACTCCTTTTGTAAATAATTTGTGCGATTTTATTGGTACGAATAATATTAAACTACAAAATTATTAATCAATTTTGGTGACAGTATTTAAAAATGTGATGTAGATTACGAATCTAATCGTAAAATTGACAACTCTTAATATAATAATTATTTACTTATCACTCCCATGACTGACTTAACACTAGCAGGATTCTATCAAGAGAAGCCATAATTTAAAAGAAGAAGAAGAAGTTATTGACATCATATCACAATGGCCAGATGGAATGTAATTATTAGGATATGGGTTCTTAAATAGCATTTGAAACCTAAAAACTAGGCTATCGTATCCTATCTATTGATGGCTCTTTGGCGCAGTGGCTTAGCAATGAGTTGCAGCACTAAGAGCCACGGGTTCAAATCCCACATGGAACAAATATTTGTATGGCCTACAAATTATTGTTCGGAGTCTGGATCTTTGTCAATGTGAAATATATACAGGAGAAAATCCTAGTCTGGAGGTAACGTTTTATCAATAACAGGACAAAAAAGGATAAAGGGTCTATGTCTTAGAGTAGTCATTACCTAAGTAATTGAAAGATGTTTTTAAATTTACATAAATTTTAAAATGTACGCACACAAGCAGTAATAGGGCATAATATTCGCATATAGAAGGCCGAGTCAACTTTTTGTTTGATAATAAAGTCATTGTCCTTTTATGTTTAATTTAACTATTCAATTAGTTAGTTATTATTCATTAGATATATATTATAATTATTATATATAATATATTATATATATTATTCATTAGTTATAATTTGGGACATAACCTATAAATTGCTTTCTAAAATTACGAAAATCTTCCCGACGAAACATGGTATAATTTATTCTATAAATGTACTTACACTTTTTCACCCGCGCCGTTTACGCAGTGACTTTTTTGTATATGCCTATGGGCTGAAAAATAAATGGGGAAAATTTTCATACATTTCGGACATTCGTATTCCACATTTGCCATATCAACGGGAAATGGTTTAGTTGTTTCCTCCGGGGCGTTTATTACTGTCGATTTGGCGCCTGGCTTGCTTGAAGATACCTTTTTTGATGGTGTAGATTTTGACTTTCTCACCGCGAGTTCTACTAGTTTCATGTTCTTTATTTTCGGTGTTTGACTTTTATATTTAGAAATAGTCTGTTTTAGTGGTGTCACTTTAGTTTTTTGTTTATTTGTAACATTATGAACACTCTCTTGATGGGATTTGAGCGCATCCGCGGTCATTAATCTACGACCGCAAATATCACATTTATATTGCGCATTTCGGAGTTTTATCTTCGTCGCTGATCTAGTGCCCATGTTATATGCAGCATTTGAAGCTCAGAACACTTTATAAACTTGTATTTATCTAATGTTTTGAGAAATAACGCATGTAAAATTAGATGACGCTTGCTTGTTGAGATTCAATTTTTTTAAATTGCAATTCCGATTCCGATACCGTATCTTATAGGGATGTTCGAAAATACGTATATATCGATAGTGTATAACGAGAAAGGGATAAAGAAAAATCGATATTTTTAACAGCAACATTGCATCACTAATGATTATGGCATAGTGTCACAAACTAATAAGGTGTAGTGTACTATTATGACACTGTGCTATTAAAATCCTATTTTTACATAGATCTTATAGATAGGCTACTAGTTAAAACTATGAACGTATTTCATTTTCAGTTAGCAAGCTGAGAATTCTCTATTCGTACTCTAAATCATTAGGATACTTTGAGTTGTTAGTGACTCAATGTTCATCTATAAAATTAGTAGAAACTACGTGTGCCGACCACTTCTTAAAGTTTTGTTTTAGTGCCACGGAGAATGCCTCTAGCCCCGATCAACACTCTAATACGCCAATTCTATAGGACGCTACTGCCATCTAATTCCCTGCTCTCTAGAATCAGTCATCTTTACAACAAATACTGTGACCATCAACAAATCAAATTTAATGTTTACCATACAATCAGTGGAGTAGCGTGTCTTAGAGGGGCCCTCTATTAAAATTTATTGGGGGGCCCAAATGAAGGGTAAATATTTTTCACAAAAGGAATAAAAACTCTCGCATTGAAGTAATATAATTATATATTGATTATAAGTTATTACTTACAATTAATATTCCTATGAACTAAGCTTGCCAAACCATTCAAACCAACATCTTGTCCCATAGAAGTCCTTAGAATTTTTGTTTACATACGTTTGGGGCTTCTGCAGCCCGGGGGCCCCGTATCATTGATACGGCTGATACGGCGGTAGCTACACCCCTGCATACAATGTATGTCAAGACATACATTGTATGGTAAACAATAAATTTAAGAAGATGATTTTAGAAATGTAGCTTTTAGTTTATAGCCTTATTAGTGAATGTTTCATTGTGTAAGTGATGATTACACATAAGTGATTGTGAATAATATTCTATACAAACTATCCAATATATGAAAAAATAAAATATAAACATTGGTGCTGGGATTAGTGGTGTCCGTGATAGTGCACGCAATTGAGGGAGGGCGGGAGGTGCTCTTCAAACTAGGTAAGACACATCATTTTATTTTATCGAGCGGATGAACGCGAAGTAATTTTTTACCAACTTTAAAATATAAACATGCAAGCCAGTGATTCTCAAACTTTTTGGCTAAATTTGACATCTTAGGTTTGAAATGTTTGTACTTTTAGAGAAAATTAACTTCTCAAAGTCGGGCAATGTCTCATCCGCATTCACACTATCCAGAACTTTGCCGATTGTGGGAAATTCATTATAAAAATATAACTTGTGGACTATGCGGCGTATACCTCCTATTTGTAAGTCGTTTAAATTATCATAAATTCTTCGCCTTTGCGATCGTGGTGTAGGTAATTCTTCTAATAATTCTCACGGACAATTTTAAAAACTGCGCTTCGAGAAAACCCCATGATCACTTTTGTCAGCGATGTCGTACTTATACCATATTTATAAGGATCGGACTCCTTAGGCCACTTCTCTTACACATGCTTGTAGACGTTGGTCCTGTTGGTCTTGGAAGAAAAAGTGCAAATATTTCTCGGCCCAGGGTCACTCATTTCATGAAGTTAAACACAACATATCTAACAAAGACAACAAACGTAAAAAAACTTATTATATATAATTTAGCTAAAGAATTAATTAATTTAGCTAAAGATAATAATAAATTATATATTAAAACAGATATAATAGCGAAAAAACAATGAAATTACGAGTGATAACAAGGAAAAAGATTGCATACTTGCGTCAACGAATTGAATAATAGTAAATATAAAACATGGCAGATATAATCCAACTGATTATAGAAGCACTCCTTCCAATGAAAAATAATTATTTTTCATTGGAAATTTAAATTCTTTAAATTGTTAGTTAGAAGTTTGGAATTTTAGTTTTTTAGGTTCTTTATAATATAAGTTATTCATTTGAGTATTTTTTTATTAGTATATTATTATATTGACAAAAATGCCAGTAATTTGAAATTTACTCGCATTTATGTCGATATTATTGTTGACAAAATACAAATATATTTTTAATATATATCAAAAATGTTAGTTATTCTGTTAGCGATTCTAAGAAATGATTCCATGCTATAATGATTATTTTACGTTTTAATTATTGTGAAAGCGACACCGTATGAACCCTTTTTATATTTGGTTTACCTGTATTTTTTTCGTATCTTGGATAGATTTAATCAAATCGTGCTTCATGTCGATATATAAAAACGGTTTTTGATATCGATATGAAAACTTAATTTCGGTAATGTAACCATTATCATAAAAAACTGATAACGCCCATGTCTAACGTGTAGTATGTAATGGATGCTTTACGTGCGTGTGTTTCTATATAGTTTGTGCATGCGTTGGATAGTTAGGCCGAGTTCATCTGGTGACAGGGGATGATGACAATATATTAACACCACGCCAAAGGATAATTCGCTATACTAATACTCTAAGATTATTCGTTTCCAGATTTTTTTATTTAACGTATGAAGTCAACGCTTAACGTTCCGACGAATTGGTTCCGTTTATGTGGCACTTAAAACTAGCTAACGACTGACAAACGAGCAATCAGACCACCTGATGGTAAGTGGTTGCTGCGGCCCATAGACATCTATATCTATCCTCTATTACAAACCAAAATGCAGATGCGTTGTCACCCGAGAGGACAAAGATGGAATGTCTCATTTCCAGTAAAAATGGTCTCCGGTTCTCTACACTCACCATACGAAACACAGCAGCGTTAAGCTGCTATTTTACGCTGGTATTCTGTGAGAGCGTGGTCCTTCCCTGGTCGAGCTGACCCATTCGTGCTACAACCATAATATAGCTGCAGCATGGCTCTACCACATATAAAATAATAAATCGAATGAAAACATCGATGTTTGGCTGAGTAAGAAAATGGGGAGATCTCCCGCTGAGCAAGGTGTTTAGCCCAGGAAGCGTCCAACGCTCCGTGTGTAGTGTAGTACAGAACTGTTATACAAAAAGCGCAGTACTTCTGATCTTTGATAGAGTTATTTAAGTCTTCAGTGTGGTGCTACGACAGAACCGCCATATTACCCTTCCATTCAGACTGAAGGTCAATGATGAAGTATAGTTGTCGACGAATTTGCTAGGGATTGCCTTATAGTCTGCGGTCAGATGAGAAGAAGGCAAGTAATCTGCGAGAGGGTCGTGAAGCAGACGCATACAGTAAGACTCTAAGCTATGCCGAACATTATGGTGCAGAGAGTAGCTTTAAGGAACAGGAAACGTTATTGCAGTGCAGCGATAAGCCTTGTAAAGCTAAATGGCTTGCAGGATCTGACGACAGCGGACAATATCTGCTCGGGAGCGAATGGATAGTACTTGAGAACGATGACGAAAGCTTTAAGTTGAGGTTTCCGAAGGTAGGATGGCCAAGTAAAGAAAATAGCCAACGTTCCGTGAGTTAGCACAGAGCTGTTCTATACATAGCGCAGTACTTCGGAACTTTGATAGCGTGATTTAAGGCTTCGGTGCATTTCGCTTGTGGCATGACAACTGCGCTGGGTCAGATATATTTTTTAAGGTGGAAGCGTCAGGGTAGCCCTCGAAACTCAAATTTTCTTACGTTTTTTGCAATTCGCAGGTCAGTGTCAGGTTGTATGTTTAACAAAATATAATTCGCGACCGTAACGAGTATGTATTTACAGAGTTATAATCATTATAATCATCAATACAACCGTCTGTGTTCGTATAATTCCAATGTTTCTCACGCGGCAGCTTTTGCTGTTGCACGGATGGGCCGGCTCGAACCGGGATGGTACCACGACCTCACAGAAAACCAGCGTGAAGTAGAGGTTTACCTCTGCGTTTCGTTTGGTGAGTGCAGGTGGCCGGAGGCCCTTTTTACTGGAAATGAGGCATTCCATCTTAGTCCTCACGGGTGACAACGCATCAGGGGCGTAGCTACCGCCATATCAGCCGTATCAATGATACGGGGCCCACGGGCTACAGGGGCCCTTAACATGTGTAAGCAAAAATTCTGAGGACTTCTATGGGACAGGATGTTGGTTTGAATTGTTTGGCTAGCATAGTTCCTAGAAGCATTAATTGTAAATAATAACTTATAATCAATATATCATTATTTTAATTCAGTGTGAGAGTTTTCGTTCCTTTTGTGAAAAATATTTATCCTTCATTTGGGCCCCCTGACTAATTTTGATACAGGGCCCCTCAAAGGCACGCTACTCCACTGCAACGCATCTACATTTTAATTTGTAATAGAGGATAGATGTAGATGTCTATGGGCCGCAGCAACCACTTACCATCAGGTGGACTGTGTGCTCGATTGTCACCCTTATCCTATAAAAAAAAATTATGGCTATTTCCCGAAAAATTCATTCAAAGGGAATATATGAACTTAGAGGGTTGTATTGGTGATTTTAATGATAATAATTCTATAAACACGTACTCGTTACGATCGCGAATCATATTTTATTAAACATTCAACCTGACCCTGACCTGCAAATTCCAAAAAACGCAAGAAAATTTGAATTTCGCGGGCCACCGTGGAGCTTTCACCTTAAATGGACCATACGTTTTTTGTGATGTGCGTGTAAAATTTGGTCTCGGTTTTCTGAAATGTTTAGTTTAGTTTGGTGGGGACTTAACCGGAAGATGATTGCTCTTTTTTAACGTTTGCATACTGATTTGAAGTGAATATTGATACTTAAATGTGATGCGTTTTTGTGTATTAATTGTCTGCGCATGTGATCTATTAATGAAAACGATGAAACAAGCGTTTTGTTGTTGAATGTTGATATAAACCTCAACTTCTTAGTTTGTTTA